GCCTGCCCAGGTCTCGCTGGATGGCAGCACAAAAGTCCAGACACATTCTGTTAGTGGCGAGTTCAGACACTAAGTTATCGCTGGAGGCAAAGAGTCATCACAGTTGTTGGATTTATACTTTTCCTGTGACTACTTTGAAAACTTCAGGCACCTGGTTTAGCATTTCCTTGAGTCTTGTCCTTCCTGGTCCTTGACTCATTAACATCTGAAATCATTAACTGTGTGTTGTTCCTGACCTTGATCTCCAGAGTTCCCGTTTCACTTTCCTTTCACTTGGCTGAATTTCTGTCATCTCCTTCACAGCACTGATGATCTAAGCAGCCTAAAACATTCCTCTTCCTTTGTTTTAAGCATGCTGTCTGGCAACTAGAACACCCCACCAGGAGTTCTTAGGCATATTTTCTAGGTTTTTTTGTGTTTTGTGGGGTTTCTATTGTTGTTTTTTTAACTAGCCTACTGAAAACAGGGCAGAGAGGTCTATAATTGCAGTTATTTAATCTGAAGAGCACACTGTGTCAAACAGCAGCTTCCTTTTCATCATTTCTTAGCAAAAAATGTAGGCCATAGTCTGTCCAATGATTGTGCATAGCCCCTAATCAGCATTGAGACATATTCTTGAGTGTCTTGCTGAATTTGTCTCATGCAAAGGTAAAATGGAGGAGGTTACTGAACCCTGTTTTAGTATCTATCTCCTCTCCTAGTGCTTTGCAGCCACCTCTCTTGAGCAGAATCTCCTGTGCCTGCTTGATGCTGATATAGCTCAGTACAACTTGGAGATCCTTAAAACTGATTTTCTTTTGCAGGCAGCAGACGAGTTCTACTCCAAGCTAGAGGCACAGAAAATAGATCTGAAAGCGTTGCAGCAGGTATGCTCTCATCTAAGAGCGGAGCAGCTGAGGTGGCTCTTTGAGCTTCAGATGCTTCATTTGGTTCTTGTAGCCTGGGGTGAGGGAAGTGTCATTTCTCATTTTTGCTGTGGAAATGCTGGGTCAGTGGTGGTCAGGGAGTGGATTTCAAGATGTGTCGTGCAGCAGTTGGTTCTGCTTGGAATACAAGTAGTAGCATTAACAACAATATTGTGGAGACTCTGCATCTCTTAAGCTGCTCTGTTTTTCTGTGCTGGATGCTCTGCTGAATGTCTTGCAGTCATTAGGTGATAAGATTTCATTTCTGTGTATATTTTTCCATCTTTCTTATTTTTGAAAGGAAAAACAAGCATTGAAGAAACTTGAAAATGTCCGTAGGGATCATGAGCACAGACTAGAAGCTCTACAGCAAGCTCAGGTAAGACTGAGGTTTGGGTTGTTTTTTTATTTTAACTAAGAAGGTACATAATGTTTCTTGAAGAGTTGTACCTGCTGGTCCTAGAGTCACAGAATGGTCTGGGTTGGAAGGGACCTTAAAGCTCATCCAGTCCCAACCCCCCTGCCAGCAGCAGGGACACCTTCCACTAGACCAGGTTGCTCAAAGCCTCATCCAACCTGGCCACAAACACTTCCAGGGAGGAGCAGCCACAGCTTCTCTGGCCAACCTGGGACACTGTCTCACCACCCTCACACCAAACAATTTCTTCCTCACATCTCAGCTCCATCTCCCCTCTTCCAGTTTAGAACCATTTCCCCTTGTTCTATCATTAACTGTCCTGATTGCTACAATCAGCATTAGACCCCAAAGTGAAGCCTTCTGCTGTCACTGAGCTCCCTGCAGCCCCTCAGGGAATCTAAGCCTACCCAGTGGGGCTCTGCTTCTTTATGAGCCCTTCATACCTCTCTTGCCAAAATTTCCTTGTGCTGCTCTGCTTGCAGGACTCAAGTTGGCTGTTGCCCTATGTGATCACTTCCATGCCATTCTTGGATTTCATCTCAGTGTTAATTATTACTTTTATTTGTTTAAAACTATTTCTGAGTGTGTGTTTAGCTTCCATGGGTATCAACTTCTTTTCTTTCTTTAAGGAAGCTGATAAGATAAAAGGAGAACTTATAGAAATGAACTTGGAGATTGTTGACCGAGCCATCCAAGTGGTCCGCAGTGCATTAGCCAACCAGATAGACTGGACAGAGATTGGAACCATTGTTAAAGCAGCTCAAGCTCAGGGAGACCCTGTTGCAAGTGCCATCAAAGAATTAAAGCTTCAGACAAATCATATCACCATGCTGCTGAGGTAAGGACATCACAGGTCGCTTGTACCAAATGCAAGTAGGGCAGAGTGTGTGAGCTCTGTAGGAGACAGGCATCTTTTTAGCTTGTGCATTGGTATTAAAATTGTGCAGTTTTTCTTTCAACAGCACGAAGAGAACATAGTTCTGTGAGCAAAGAGAGATGCCTTGTTTTTTACTTTCAAAAACAATAGTAATTTGATTACTGTAATAGCTTTTCTTTTAATATTTTTAGAGTCTATCTGAGTAATATTCTAAACCGTTGAGAGCAGTATAGGTCCAAAGCTCTGGTCTGTCAGTCAGCATTTAACTCTCTCTGATTTACTTTTCTTTGATCTAAAATTCATGTGAGATCCCACCTCTTTCTATGCTGCTGCAGCAGTCTGGTGAAAGGCTGGTGGTTCAGGATTGCAGCTGTTGGGAGCTGCAAGTTTTGATGCTGGTTTTTGTAGAATCCCAGAATTGCCTGGATTGGAAAAGCCCTTTAAGCTCATCGAGTCCCATCATGAACCCAACACTGACAAGTCCCCTATGACTAACCCATGTCCCTCAGCACTATGTCTACACAACTCTTCAATCCCTCCAGGGATGGGGACTCCACCACTGCCCTGGGCAACCCCTTCCAATGCCTCAGAACCCTTGCAGCAAAGAAATTCTTCCTCACATCCCATCTCAACTGCCCTGGCCGCAACTGGAGCCCATTTCCTCTTGTCCTGTCCCTTGGGCCTTGGTTGAACAGACCCACCCCCACCTCTCTCCACCCTCCTCCAAGGGACTTGGACAGAGCCAGAAGGTCTCCCCTCAGCCTCCTTTTCTCCAGGCTCAACACCCCCAGTTCCCTCAGCCACAAGGGAACTCAGCACATTTGTGCTCCAGACCCTTCCCCAGCTCCGTTGCCCTTCTCTGGACACGCTCCAGCACCTCCATGTCCTTCTTGGACTCAGGGGCCCAACACTGAACCCAGCACTCAAGGTGTTGCCTCACCAGTGCCCAGTGCAGGGGTAAAAGAAGTCCTGATGAGAGAGCTGGCAGTGAGGCAGTATTTGGAGTGTCTTTAAATTCTGACCTGACACTGTATCAGGGTGCTAGATATGAAAAATCAAAAATTTCTTTTTTATAGCTGGAACTTTTGGTATGGAAACTGTAATGTGGCAAAATTAATTTATGAATTTTTAGTTACCTCACTTTCAGGAATATTAGTGTATAGAATAAACCTATTTTCAGGAGTGAGTTCTGTGTTGACACCTGTGTCATCAATCTCTTTTCTCCATCTGGTTTAGTAGCAAGTAATGATCACATCACTGATCAGACCACTCAGTCAGTCCACTGAGTATTTAACTGTGCATCCTCAGTAGAGAGGACTATGGAGATCTATTTTCCTTTCTGAAGAATGTTATTTTATGCTGCTCCACCACCTTTTGCTACACAGACTTAGTACAGCTGTACTGAGCAGGATTTCATGTCCTGACGAGAAGCAAATGCAAATCCAGCTAGTGTGTGCTCAGCATACCTCTTTCAGAACAGCACAGCAGATATTTTTTGAGGTTTTGAACCAGCACATGCTGTCCTGTTCAGTGAGTCAGTGTGATGATGTAACTATTCTCTTTTCATGTAAATGTCTTGTGTTTCTTTGACTTTATGAAAGTAGATCTTTGGAATGTTTCTTTATTTTAAGTCCAGATTTTTCTCTAGGTTGATAGCATGGGTGTGTGTTTTTTGATAGAAGAAATTGCCTTGGAAAACATCACTTCCTTGGATTGGAAAATTTGGGCTCTGTATCTTCTGCTTTTGTTTTCTTTTTTCCCCTAAAATTTGGCTGACTCCAAGACATAAAAGGGCTTGTGTGAGAGGTATCCTGGGGCCTTCCTGCAGCTACACAGTGAAAATGGTTTAAGGGTTCTCTAGGCCATTTCCAGTCTCCATGAGAGAATAGAAGAGTGCCTTGCACTAAGGGTAAAAAATAACCAGTTATCTTAATCACATGATGTCATGTGTTTTTAGGAACCCATATGTGTTATCTGAAGAGGAAGAGGAGGAGGAGGATGCTGATTTAGAGAAAGAAGAAACGGAAGAACCAAAGGGAAAAAAGAAAAAGAATAAAAACAAACAGTTGAAGAAACCTCAGAAAAACAAACCGTCGTTAGTTGATGTTGATCTCAGTTTGTCTGCATATGCCAATGCCAAAAAGTAAGGATTACAGTGAGTGTGTGTTTTGGTAGCAGGAGGTTTTGTGTGCTTGCAGTAGTTAGTCATGGCATCATAGGAAGGGCTCTGTGTGTATCTTATTAAAAACAGAAGTTAGAAATGAGTAGCTTGCCCTGATCTCCAGGACATGCATTTTCTTAGTCCAAAACCAGTATCTCACTGTTGCCTAGCAGCTGGTCTCTAACTGTCACATTGATTTAATTTTGAGTACAATTCTGCACAGTGACACATGGAACAAAATGACTATTTTTGCCACACGTTACCCCAAACGCAGTGCTCTGTCTGTCTGAGGAGGGGACTTCATCTGGCTCCTTTTCTCAGGTGAAGAATAGCTGAAGATCTAAAAAAAAACCCCAAAAAACTTCTAAGAACCAAATGCAAATGGAAAATGTGGAGAACTGTGATAAGTACATCCTAAAAATGAGTGAATCTCTTGGGATTTCAGACACAAACCAACTTGTGTTTCGCAGGTACTATGATCACAAAAGACACGCAGCTAAGAAAACTCAGAAGACAGTAGAAGCTGCAGAAAAGGTAATTTTTGTTTGTTTGTTTGTTTTTAGAAGATATTTAAAAGCAAAGTCCCTGTCACTGATCAGTGGAAAATCCTAACTTTAGGTCTAGGTGACCCTAATGAGACACGAAAGGTGAAAACAACCAACCAGGGTTGTTTAATTCTTGTACTTTTAAGGATTGCAGATCCCTGCGGTATCATCTGGTTTCCACCAGTAGCATTGTGAGCACAGCAGACAGGTGCTTGGTGGAGATACTGACAGACCAATATTTATGGAAGCAGGAGTGGAAAATCAATGGAAATCCTTATGATCAAAGAGCTGATAATCTTCCCAGGGGGCAGCTATCCAGGGCAGAGGTGTATGAAGATTTTAGGACAGCTCTCTCAGATGTGTGTGAGGGGAATGCAGGTCTGTGAATAGCAGTGTGTGGAGCCTGCACTCTGAAATCAAAAGTTCAGAGACAGTTCAGACAGAGTTCAGTTGCCCAAGGAAGTTGCAGGTTGCCCAAGGAAGTTGTAGATGCCCCCTCCCTGGAAGTGTTGAAGGCCAGGCTGGATGAGGCTTTGAGCAACCTGGTCTAGTGGAAGGTGTCCCTGCTGCTGGCAGGGGGGTTGGAACTGGATGAACTTGAAGGTCCCTTCCAACCCAAACCATTCTATGATTCTATGATTTCCTACCAGCTTTCCTCCTGTTCCTGTAGCAGTTTTGTGATTCCTGTGCTTCCTGTCTGAATAGGCATTTAAATCGGCCGAGAAGAAGACGAAGCAGACGTTGAGGGAAGTTCAGACAGTTACCACCATTCAGAAAGCAAGAAAGGTCTATTGGCAAGTACAGTTTCATTGTCCTCACCTAATATATTGTGAATGTGCACAAATTTGGAATGACTCTGTCAGGATGAGTTTCCATTAGCTTAAAAATTGAGCTAATTATGATTTCTAAGCACTACACTTTGTATTGAGTCTTCTTACAATTGCTCCTTCAAGGTGCTGGCCTGATTCTGTTAGTGCCTTTGTCTGGGAAAGTTCCTTTCAGTGGATGTGAACCTGTAGATTTTTGCTTTGAACAGAGGTAGGAATATGGGCTTAGTAAAAGTAGGGAACTTCACTGTTCCTTTCTGTCAGCTCTGTGAAATAGCAACAGCAGATTTTTTTTTTAGAAAAGAAAGAACAAAAAAAAAACCCCAACCCAAAACCCCACAGCTTTTTCTATTCTGAATTATTAAAACAAAAATAAATAGGAGGCAGCTGGACTTTGTGGTGATAGTACTTGTCATGTCATCTCAAAGTATCATTGTCAGTGATGTTATATTTATACCCTGCCTTGTTTTTATGCCCTGGGCACATGGATGGATTTGAAACTATTTGCAGTGTCTGTTGTAAGGAGTGGATGCTAAGATGGATATTCTTAGAGTTTGGTCTAAAAAATACCTTTGTGATGTTCTGTTAGTTCCAGGTGTTTTTCACACAATGGATTGATGTAATTTGGCAGGTTTGAGAAGTTCCTGTGGTTCATTAGTTCTGAAAATTACCTTATTATTGCTGGAAGAGACCAACAACAGAATGAGGTGATTGTAAAGCGGTATCTTAAACCAGGTGAGAGTCTGATCAAGTGCAGTAGAGGGGTTTCTCTCTTTATTTTCCAGTTTTGTAAATGTAAAAGAACGACACAGGAAGGTCTGGCTGGTTTGTACTTAAGTTGAGCCTTAGGTAAAAGGGGATTTTGGTGATGGTGAGTCCTAGAGACTGTGTGTGTGTTGTCTGTGGAGTGCTGGGGGGGGTCTGCTGTGGGAGACTGGAACCTCCAGCACTGTGGGATAAGAGTAGGTCGGATGGAAGCCTGTCAGGAGCAAAGGAGCTGATTCTCCCCAGAGCAACTGGGATGGACTAAAAGCCTTCTGTATCCTCTTCCCATCCCGCTCCTTGCAGCCAAAATAGCTGTTTCCAGCTAATATTAGAAACAGAATCCCAGAATTGCCTGGATTGGAAAAGCCCTTTAAGCTCATCGAGTCCAACCATGAACCCAACACTGACCAGTCCCCTATGACTAACCCATGTCCCTCAGCACTGTGTCTACACGACTCTTCTATCACTCCAGGGATGGGGACTCCACCACTGCCCTGGGCAACCCCTTCCAATGCCTCAGAACTCTTTCAGCAAAGAAATTCTTCCTCACATCCCATCTCAACTGCCCTGGCCACAACTGGAGCCCATTTCCTCTTGTCCTGTCCCTGGGTCCTTGGTTGAACAGACCCACCCCCACCTCTCTCCACCCTCCTCCAAGGGACTTGGACAGAGCCAGAAGGTCTCCCCTCAGCCTCCTTTTCTCCAGGCTCAACACCCCCAGTTCCCTCAGCCACAAGGGAACTCAGCACACTTGTGCTCCAGACCCTTCCCCAGCTCCGTTGCCCTTCTCTGGACACGCTCCAGCCCTTCCATGTCCTTCTTGGAGTCAGGGGCCCAACACTGAACATAGGACTCAAACCTTCAACTTAGCTTGAGTGATTGGTGTAGTTACCACACATATGACTGATTCGTGTCACTTCTTTTCCAGGGGACATATATGTGCATGCTGATCTCCACGGAGCCACGAGCTGTGTGATCAAGAACCCATCAGGTACTTTGTGTGGGGCTGATGGAGGGACTCCTAGAAGCCTGGGGGCACTGTGGACTGGTCGTGTCTGTGCTGCATGTCTGAGCCCAGCCTGGCGAGCTGCCTTCCCCCCTTGCAGTGGTACCCAGCTCCAGCAGATGTTTCCCTTAGGATGTGAGAGGCATCAGTCCTTCCAACATCAGGTTGTCACTGACTGACTGCTGCCACTTCTCAGCCATGACTGGCTGCTTGCAGTTGCTCAGTTCAGCTCCTGGTGGGAAGGAGCAATTGAGATGTGCTCCCAGAGACCAGCCTTAGTCACTGGCAGAAGTGGTGGTGTGAGTTACTGGTGTCCTGCTGAGACTTGACTGGTGGCAGAAGCAGTTTGGGTGCTGATGGAGGGTGCTGATCTCTGCAGAAAAGCGTTAACGTGGTGGGATGGATCTCATGACAGACCTGCTGTGCAAACCCTGCCTGTGCCCCGCTTCTGGGAGGTGGTGGCAGTTGGCCTTGTGTTGTGAGGAGCAGGGTGACTGCTCCCTCGTGGAGCTGAGCTGAGGAAGGAGCAGCAGCACAGCTGGTTTCAGTCTCTGTTGGGGAGCTGGGAAGAGCAACTGCTGACACTGCTTCTGCTCTGTACTGCCTTCAGGCTCAGCCAGGCTGTGTTCTCTCTGCCAGAGCCCCTGGAAAGCTCATGAGGACACATGTGGAAGTTGGAGAATTTCATCTGTTGTGCATGGATCACATTCACTGATGCCTTGGGTGTTACTTTTGTAGGTGAACCAATCCCTCCACGAACCCTGACAGAGGCAGGCACGATGGCCTTGTGTTACAGCGCTGCCTGGGATGCTCGTGTTGTCACCAGCGCTTGGTGGGTCTCCCACAACCAGGTGAGGACACTCGTGGGTGAGCTTTGCAGACAGAGCATCTGGAGGAATTGGTGTGTGACTGCAGACAAAGTGTCTCTGTGTGGGAACTGGTGGATGAGGGTGAACTGTTGTTCCTGTTCCCGTTCCTTGTGGGCTCTCCCTGGCTCTGCTGCATTGAGAGGCAGGGGTGGAGGAGTGACCTCTGATGGGACACGCACCTGACGGAGGAAATGCTGCAGGCTTGGCTTCTACTAACAGAGGAAAAGGACTTTTATTGAAAATGAAGTTTTCATTATTTTTTTTTCAGTTGGGCTTCTAACTTGTGTGTTAACTGCAGCCTTGCTGTGCTTCCAATCAACTCGAGTGTAAGGGTGGAGAGATGACATTAAGCTGAAGGTCACGGTGCCTTTAGTGTTCTTATATCCTGTAGAATCCAGTGTGTGCTTGAATTGAAACATCTCTTGGGAAAATACTCTGCAAAGGGCAGGAAGAACCTCTCAGAAACAAGAGTCCTTCTGTAAAATGTTCCCATAAGTTAAAAATGCAGCTTGCTTGGATGTTAGTGCTGTTATTGCACAGTGTGGGCCTTCTAGGGCAGATAATCTTTATAGTATAAATCTTTATAGTATATCATGCTTTTTTTGTTGTTTTTAGGTTTCTAAAACTGCACCTACAGGAGAATACCTCACTACTGGAAGCTTCATGATCCGAGGTGAGACACAAAGGAAGAGAGTAAATTTAACATGAGGCATTTTGTCTGAAGATTGCTGCCCTGTTCTGCAGTGGCAGCCACCTGAGTGTCCTGCTGCACCGTGGCAGCCAACAAATCCCTTTCTTCTCCTGAAAAATCTGTTGTGAGAGGTTTAGACTGACTGTCAGGCAGCTGCAGCAGCATGGAGAAGAGAAGATGAAGAGGGATCTGATCAATGTCTATAAATATCTGAAACGTGGGGGGAAAATGGATGGGGCCGGGCTCTTTTTGGTGGTGCCCAGTGACAGGACAAGGGGCAATGGGCACAAACTGGAACATTGGAAGTTCCAGACAAACTTAAGGAAAAACTTCTTTCCAGTGAGGGTGTTGGAGCCCTGGGACAGGCTGCCCAGAGAGGGTGTGGAGTCTCCTTCTCTGGAGATGTTCAAACC